CCCAATCCCCATCAACCCCGCATGCACCTCCCACATCCTCCCAACCCGCCAAATGTCCATCCAATCCCTCCCAGGGATTTTGAGGGGGCTGTAGGGCCAAGTAATTTTGGAATGGGACTGAGCCTCTTTCAGGAGGCACTTAACCTTTTGCAGTGGGATTCAGTGGTTTTGAGGTGACACAGGGAGACCTTCCATTTTCTGGAGCGTAAAGCTACGGAGAAAACTCTTCAATATCCCCTCAGAATCCACAAATCCTCCCAAATAGCATCTTCCCTGGTGCCTATGAGAATCTAGGGGAATGTGGACACCACCAGCCAGGTGTTTTTCCAACGTGGAACATGGGGAATATGGTTCACCAGGTCTCTCACCAACATAGGTCCTCTGACGGGAGATGGAGTTGGAGCAGAGGAGAAAGCTCTTCCCATGCTCAGGGCACTGACATGGCTTCCCTCACTGGTGCCTCTGTTGGTGTTGGGTCAAGTTAGAGCTCCTGGAGAAGCTCTTCCCACACTGAGGACACTCATAGGCCTCTCCTCAGTGTGGGTGCGCTGGTGCCTGACAAGGCTGCAATTGTATTTGAAGCCCTTCCCACAGTCGGGGCAGCGGAAGGGCCTCTCATCTGTGTGAATGCGCTGATGGAGGAGGACACTGGAGCTAGTCTGAACCCTCTTCCCACACTCAGAACACTCATAGGGCCTCTCCCCAGTGTGGTACCGCTGGTGGGAAACGAGGTTGGAGCTCTGACTGAAGCTCTTCCCACATTCCCCACACTCGTAGGGCCTCTCCCCTGTGTGGATGTGCTGGTGGCGGATCAGGTCAGAGTTGCAGCTGAAGCCCTTCCCACATTCCCCACACTCGTAGGGCCCTTCCCCAGTATGGATCAGCCGGTGACGGAGCAGGCGGGTGCTCTTCCTGAAGCGCTTCCCACACTCCAAGCACTTGTAGTGCTTCTCCCCAGAGTGAAGCTGCTCATGAACCCCCAGCTCCAAGCCCCGGCTGAAGCTCTGGGTGCCTTCCTGGCCCTGGGTGGGTCTTTTCCCCTCAGAGCACCCTGGCCTGGGTGCGCAGTCCCTCCTTGCGCAAGATCTCTGTGGCTTTTCCTTCTCATTGGATTCCTGTACTCTGGAGCTGCACAAAACGGCCTCTTCCATGATGTTCTGCTGGGGGGATTTGTCCTCCTTGGTCTCCATCCTCAGCTCATTGCCTGTGGGAGGAAGGACAAGGAGAGGATGGGATTTGCTCCGTGCCAGAGGGAAGGGGAAGGAGATCCTCCCAGTCCAACCCTGGCAGGACGGTGTTGGCAGCGGGGTTGTCCTGCAGCCAGGGTCGATGCTGGGCTGGGAGATGGAGCAGGAGAGAGGGGAAAGGTGCAGTGACTGCCTCCTCACCTGCCTGGGGGTCCTGGGGCATCCTCCTCTTCTTCGCAGCCTCCTTCTCTATCCAGCCAATGGCTGGCAATGGGAAATGCTGGTTTGGGGAAAAACAAAGCATGAGCAACTTGGGTTTGAAGGTCCATCCACCCAAGTCTATCTCTATATCCCCTTATTCTCTGCTTTCGGGTTCCAGGGTGTCCAAGGAGTCCCCCCTCCCCGCTCCAGGCTGTTGAGGGTCCCGAGAATCGTGGCCCTCCCCGCTCTCTGGGCTCCCATGTTGAGGTCCTGGGGGACGCAGGGCTCTGCTCCTCCAGACTGCCAGAGGTCCCCTAGCCCTGGTATTGTCCCTCACTGCTCTCCCCACCCTGGGGGTCCTGAGGTTGCTCCCTCTGGCTCTCCCAGGGGGTCCCACATTTCCCTTGGCTCCAGGCTGTAGGCGGCAGTGCCTGACCCGGTGCACCAGTTTGAAAGCGAACCAGCAGGGAAATTATCCCCACGCAAATATCTTGCAAGAGATTCTCAGTCAGAACTACAAGTTAATAGGAAAAATGAAAATAAAAGCAATAATACAGAAACAACAATAGTTTAAACTGACAGAGTCAGAGTACAACCTGACACACTGTTGGGCAGAGTGGTGCCTGCAGTGCCGTTGGAATGATGGATGTGCTCTCGTTGCTGCAGTGATCCTGAAGACAGGTCGAGTCCGTCTCTGAAGGTCCAGTAGTGGTTCTCAAGCTCCTCTCCTCTGGGAACCCAGTGGAAGAAGTGTCCCAGTGTTCCAGAGCCCCAGTTTATATGCTGGTAGGGATGTCCAGTTCYTCCTCTCTGGGTGGGGCATCTGATAATGGGGTGATATGAGTCATTCCCCCAGACCTTGATGGCCCAAAAGCAGAGACAGCCCCCCTGGAGGGTGTTATCAGGGCTGAGTYATGCTGAGAATAAAGAGCACTTCCCCATTGGTTTTAACAGCTTATGGAGATGGTAATAGAATACATTCTGTTTTGGTTACACCTTCCATGTAACCTAAAACACCCGGGCAGAACCAACACCCACTGCAGGGGCAGACCCCAAGCCTGCCCCCACACCAAAGCACTGCCAGCACCGCCATAAGAACCCTCCAAAAACACCTCCTGGAGACCCCACAATTTTCCCGCAAAGGGCAATTATGGCTCAGCTTTGGAGTCCTGCAAGATTCAAACATCCCCCCAAAAAACATCAGCCCACGGACTCCCCGGGAAATAGGGGCCAAGCTCCCCCTCGCCAGACTCCCCCTCCGCATCCTGTGGGAATATCCTCCTGTACGATGGGGGGCAATGCTCCCTGGGTCAGGGGAGCTGCAAAATCTGAAAGCCCTGAACCCTAAAGCTTCCTCTTCTTGTTTTCCTCTATGCATCTTCCTCCTTCTGCACCCTAATCCCACCTCCTGCTCCTCCTCTCTCCATTGCTTCGCCCCTCTGTGTGGGGAATGCTGTTGAGGAATGGTTGTTCAGTAAAGGAGAACATGAGGAAATTCAGCTGATTGAGCTAGAATTGAGCTAGACGCGAGGGAGGATTGAGAAAGACAAAAACAGCACAAGAATGAGGAAGCTGTAACCACAAGTGCATACACGAGGGAGCTTTTGTAAGTGCATATACGAGGGAGCTTTTGCAATATGGGAGGCTGACCATTATTACAATATGGGGGACTGACCGTTATTATTAGAAAAGGCAAGATCAGCAGAGGTATGAAGAAATGTAACCGCAAGTAGGCACATAGGGGTGGGATTGACCATTATCACATTGTCCAATGATGAGCTATGCTTTTGCAATATGTATGAGCTTATTTTCTTGATTATAAAAAGGCAGAGGCCCCAAAATAAAATTGAGACTTTTTGATCATCATCGGATGTGCTTGTCTTCCTTCGATTCTTACAACACCTCTGTATTTCCCTTTTTTCCTCCATCCATCCTCCTCCTGCCCTGTTCACCCCAAGCTCTCACATCCCACGGGAGAAGTGGAGATGGAGCCGGGATGGATGGGCAGGGTGGGGTTCTTGGCTGCTCCCACCCACTGCGGGGGAACTCAACCCAGGGAAAAGGCACAAAATTGTTGGGTGGAGATCAAAATTTGGGGGTTGTGGTCACCCTGGGTGGGGGCTTCCACCCCTCTGGTCTCATTCCAGGAGCCTGGAGAGTTTGGAGCAGGGAATGCAGAGATTGATGGGGGATCCCAGGGAGTTT